CCCCTGCATTAACTTGCCTGCTCATTTATTTTCCGTCACGTTGCTACTATGAAGAGTAATCGTTATAGTTCGCTAACCCGTCCCGTCTGTCTTCCTCTCGCTCGTTGGCACTTTCTTCTTTTGGTACCGTCTGCATCACAGAAGTTATTACATCACGCCTTTCTAATGCGGTGCGGATCGACCTGTCTAACAACGATTCCCCCGTTTGTGGATCCCGTGATATTTTTTGCGAATTTTTCCTGTGCTTGAAATAGGTGTGCGTTACACTAACATGTATTTAGGGCCGTCTTTGAATGTGCATTGCAAATGAATGTAGCCATGGACAACTCGCCATGATTTCCAACACTTTTATTCTTCACGAAGGAAGCTGAGTTCCACGAAAGGCGTGCGAAACGAAGTGATCAAAGCAGTTAAGTATAGGCCATATTTTGAGAGCAAACACAAACAATAGCCTGCGTCACCTAAATTCGAATTAAACTTCCCTGCACACCAATTGTTCTACCTCCATCCGGAAAAGCATAACAATGTGGTGCTTATCGATGGTAATTAAGGACGGACGTTTTCTTTGGAATATACGTGCGATGTGGTGGCGGAACAAGCTTTAGCAAAGCTCGTTTCAAATTTACATTTTTAACTATTTAATGAAATGCTACTGGGTCGGCCTCGATGGATCCTTTAGACGTATGAGACAAATACTTGAAAGTATTACTTCACACAAATCCAATATTTTTTATTATTTTTTTAAAATTATATCTATATATGATTTTTTTGTTTTTTTGTTTCACAGTTTTTGTGAATTCACACAATTTTCAGCTTCTTTTTCGCGCACATTTCTTAACTGGTAACGCAAATATTTTTTTCGAATGTATTCATTGTCCCTAAGTTGTCGTAGTTTAATTTGCTTCTTAAGTTAAGCAAGCTTTTTTTACGTAAAAACAAATCGTACGGAGTTGTCTCACATAATATGAGGGTTTTTTTGGCGTTGCCCCGTTTACTGGTTAGCTGCTCTCTAAAGTGATCCCTTAATAACGCGATTACACTATTAGTTGCGTAAAGGGGCGAACCATCCTATTGAAACTACGTATTTTGCTACATATCGGTATACATCGCTTTCAGGTACCAAAAGGTTTGAGATCATCTCCTGCCGGGAAAAGCCAATGATGCCTCCAACCCATATGTCATACCAGACGGTGATCTGTAGGATCCCTTTCGTAGATAGCCCCGGGGGTTCTCGGCCACGACAATCTGCGAGCTGTGGACCAATTTAAGTAAAATATCCGTGCCGCCATCTCAGAGATGTGACTAGATATTCGCCAAAAATTGAACGAAATGATGAACCGCTATGAAAAAGCTACCTCACGTACGTTGTGTTAAAGTAAAATCTTAAAAGTGTAAAGTTTGTAGTAAATGTAGATATGTTCAGTTGTTTTTTATGGCCGTCATTTTGAAATTGCTACCGACCAGATGGCTATCCCTATATGTATATATACATATATATGCAAATATAAGAAAAATTGTGGTGCGTATTCTTACGAAATGACGTAATAGATTTGGGCATTCGAGTGATCAGTGGCTCGTCATAATGTGACAAGGATCGATCACAACATTTTCGTGGTCATTCCTCATTCGAGATTCGTGGGTGGTTTTGATACCAATAGCAGTGATTGCAGTGACTCAGCCGGCAGAGTTGGCTGGTTACATGTTTTTTTTGATCTACGCGAGCCATGATCTATATGCTCTTGTCTGTGCTATGGAGGTTAGGAACGGTTATACCGTTCGTTTCCTCTGCCGTCCTTTTTTTTTTTCTTTAGTTAACCCTCGCTATTACTGCTGGCGTGGCGTCTGCCTAAGATTCAGCCGCGTTGAACCATCGTTTCCGATGTGTGTCTATACGTATCTTTCTTTCTTGATTTTTCGTTGCACAGAATACTTTTTCTACAGGCCCTTTCGTCTGTCTCCCAGCCATCGCTGACTCTCCGGACGCTGATGCGGCCTCTCAAAGGATAATATCATCGGCGTTCCACAACAGCCTCGACTCAGCCCGTCTCTACTTCAAGCCTTTCAGGCGCTTGGTTCTTAGGTCCCGGTTCTTGCTCTGGGAGCAGTTGTATATCGCTCGTGGTGCTAGTAGGATTCGTTGTCGTTGTAACAGAAGCGGCAGTGGTCCTTCTCGACGATAACAACAACGTCGAACTTGGAGAGACGACGAAAGAGTCTCATACTACGGAGAGTTGCTACTGCTGTTGTGGAACGCAAACCTTCGAGCTGAGCTGAGCTGAGTTGAGCTCGTAGATTTCGTTCTATAAAGCTAAACCCTTCCTTTCTGTCTCGTCGTTTTTAAGGAGATTTCTTGGCTCTAAAAGTTGCCACTGCTACCGGCGTAGCTGCTGCTACCGTTGATCCGATGTCTCGGTTCAACACGACTCACCGTCGCCTAGATGGACAGTGGGTGAGTTTAGGGGTAAGTGGAGAACTGAGAGGACCAAAGGTTCCTCCGACAAGGAGGAGCACACAATTGGTTGGCGAGAGATGCCCCGCATCCTACATTCCCTCCAGAGTAGACCAGCAGGCAGCAGGCGGTCCTGGCAGGATCGAGGACTGGATAGCGGGTTGGTCTGCCGCTTCGTTGGTTGACTGCACGCTGCTCCTAGTACAATCGACGGCGATAACACTCACCCAACAGACAGACAAGGATTGCGCGGGGAATGCATTCCTCTGCTTTCTTTTGCCTTTGCTGTTTCTGCCTCTTTTTCCCTTCTTATTCGTCGTCTAGCGTCTCCGATAGTAGTGGATAGAATGAGATGACTAAGCACAGTTCCCCTATGTATACCACTATCACCACCACAACATTAGGAAGTAGGCGACGATAGCCAACCTACACGCTCAGAATGACTCTTTGTTATCGTACATATATATATATACCTATTGCAAGTAGTTACATTACCTCAACCCGTTGGACACTCGCCTGTTTCGTGCGAATGAGGAGATTTAAAGCAATAATTTCTCGAATTCGAAAATCAAACAAGCATGCAAAAACGCCAGCCATGTCACTAAAGTGTAAGGGAGTGGATTTTGTCTTGAGCGTTTATAAAGTCATAACGCTAATTCAAGCTTTCGCAAACTTTCTGCTTAAATATACACAATGGTTACTGGTCTATTTAACAGGAAACACGAGGTTATGGTTGAAACCCAAAACGAATAGGTACTAGAGTGACAGCAAAAGCTTAGATAAAATTGTATGTATGATTAAATTAAAAAAATTCATTATTCTGTAGTATTCTCTATTGTGTGTTCTGCTAGCCAAGAAACAGAAAACTATTTTTTTCTTACAGCCGCTTACTCTCAAAACAGTTTGCCAATTAAAATTGAAGTTAATAACGAATGTAAAAAACAGGCACTGCGTCAACATAACTGCCATGCCTAACTTTAAATTTTATTTTTCAATAAAATTTTTCAATTGGACAATCATCTAAATTATAAGTCGTTTTAAAAGAAAGTGTTTTTTTTTTTAATAACAATGATAATAATTAGAATTATGTTATAGCATGTGTGTGTTTGCAATGTCATTGAAATTCAGTTTTTTTAATCAAATCAAGCAGAATATTAACGTAACCCCATAAATTGTCGTTTCGTTAATTCAATCCGACAATTGTCACCGGCTAAATCGAGCCATCTTTACCATAAATTATTTGAACATATATTTCCTGGGATTAAGTTGAATTAACATGACGCTGTACTTTCCTTCATTACGAGCCTTTCTTAATTAAACCTGCTTATGTAAGTCGGCTGAATGTGGAACGAAGAGCTATAGGACAATAGAGCATCCACTCCGAAATCGCAAGAAAAATATTAGTTTATCTATTTACAGCGTGGGCAGTTAATATTCTTCAAGAATTTCATTCAGAGTTGACCAGCGCATCTATTTTCCCAGTACTAGGCAAAACATTTTAGACTAGTTCTTACCTTAGTTTGTTCCAAGTTCTCCAGTTAATGTTTGTTCTGTTAATTTATTAATTACAATTACAAAAAAAAAAACCAAACAACGCCTAACGGGAGTACCAGACAAAACCTTATGCGTATTTACGTTCAGTTCAATTGCGAGAGTTATCGATTCATCTGATTCGTTCAAGTGTCCTTAGTAAAAAGAAATTCAGTTTTTGACCAACGGACAAGACGACAGAGTCATAAAATTTCAACATTAATTGTTGTCTAGTTATTTCTATGTCGGGCTTACCGTCTAACAAATGATCACCGTCAAAGTGGCAGCATAATTTTTTACAGTAAGGACCATAATCAAGTAAAAAGTGCAGACATAAAAATTCCCTGTGCTCTTCGACTAAAAACATACGCCATATGTGAAATCCCGACGATTATGGCAAGTGCTTCTGAAATGACTCATCTGAAGTAAGTAATATTTGTTGAGGAATGGTGTTTAAGTTGTCTATATAGTAATATGCCTTTAGAACCATTGTCTGTTAGGCGTTTAAATTGCTAAATATATTTAGATAATTCTCAATCAAATACGGATGTGTTATTTCATTGATAAAATATTAGAAATATAATTGGGCGCCAACTGCAAGTTACAAGATATCAGTGTTGTAATTTGCACATCATTCACATATCTGTAGCCATTGGTGTCTAAGTCTACCATTATCAAGCAACACCAGTATAGCCTTTATTGACCGCCTTTGACAACGACACTTCTATTATTTACTAATATCTCTTCATTATGTTCATCTCCTGCTGTCACTGACAAAATGCTAATATTGCAAACGAAATCGCGTATTCAGCATACGGCCATAAAAGCATACGCATGTAGCGTTTTGACACGAAGCTTGACTCGGCACTCGGACGAACAGGTCTAGGATTGAATAGTCAGGATGTTGTGGTGTGTCCGCGGCGACCCTTTCCGTTGTCAACACCCTCCTCTACCCTCACTACCGCCGTCAGCAAGATGTAGTTAACGTTGATTTGATTCGATTCTCTACTGTGGACGCCTGGGCATGTCGCCGTTACGCTTGTGACTACACGGCATAAAACCAACCTGGATAATTAATAGTTGATCAGCTGCCTGTTTCGAGAAACCGGTAAGCTAGAACATTAAAAAAATAGATCACCATATGTAACGTGTCAAAAACTAGTTTGTAGAAAGAAGAAACTTGTAGAAAGAGATGTTGAGTGATGCTTCTGCGAAACGAAAACAAACAAATTTAATGCCATTGATTAGAAAGAACGGAAACAACTTACGACTATATAAATATATCTGAATACGTAGAGCGTGAGCAGTCGCCACTAATATCCAAAATGACAACCATTAAGTAATTCAGCCAAACTCCTTTTTCGAGTACTACCTCAACGATCCATAGGATCGGATTGCTTGATCTGTTTCATAAAATACACAAAAGAGTTTAAATGTAAGTCTTGACATGCGCTCAACTGTTCCTTACCGGAGGTATTGACAGTTGCGCGCGAAAGCTTAACATAAGCTCAGCACTAGTTCAATTCGGATAAATCCGAGCGTCCTCTCTGAAAAAAAGACTATCTACCTCAATCACTTCAAGCAGATTCAGTCTATCTCAGATGATTTAAGCCATAAAAATATATGATAAAAAAAATCGCTATGTTTGTTGTGAACTTTATCTAAAAGAAGTTTCGCTGGGTGCCTAAGTTAGTGCTGTACCGTCTTCGAAGACAATAGACAATGCTGTCAAGGTGTCATGGATGCGTTGACATTTTGACGTTTACGAACGATTTTTCAACCGAATCAGCATTATTAGCTTGCTTATGTCCAACTTTGAGTTTTTTTGAAACAGAAAGGTAGTTGAAAACAATGCGTGGCTCGTCGAGCTTACCAGTCTACTTCTTTTCACTTCATTTGTATTCTAAATAAGATGCATAAACTTTGCAGATATTTAATTCTAATTATGACTATTTCGAACCCTGTTAGACCTCTTGTAGATTTGTCCGTAACATCACTCGTTCTACTTCGATGTCGAAGAAAAATATAAGAACCTAAGAATCGGCATGCCGTGTAGAAGAATTTTTTGTTCTGTGAATATGGAAGTTTGTTTTTGCTTCGAGTTGGCCCCGACGACCGAAAGGCCTTAGGATGAATTATTATATTTTCTGCACTCGGATCAGGCGTATAAAGCTCGCATAAGTACCACCCTAGTTATTTAGAAAAAGAATGTTATATACATCAGCGATTTGACACTTTCGTAACTACTTATTGCTTCAATTACAATTTATTTGCACATAATTCAGCACTGCAGTGGGTGGGGCCTGACGAATCGCGAATTCACATCTACGATTGTACTGAGGCGGCATAACATTTTTGCCCCAGTTTTTTTTCGATTTTTCGTGAGCGGCTGCCCCACTTTCGAAACAGACGATCGACGTTGCCCGCGGACAGAGGGCAGAGTCCACTCAGTTGCTTTCTTGGGCTTATCTATAAACGGCACGGTTTAAGGTAACAACCATCGCAATGGTTGCATACCGAAAAGCATCAATTATAAGAGTATAAATCATTTTTAACTACATGTCTAATTCTTTGTACCAAAAGTAATGCAAGACAAACGTCTTGACCAATAATAAAAAAAGCATTCTTTCATAGTGTTTCTATTTAACTGCTTAAATTATCCATATTGCTGTTATAAGGCGAATATTCCAGGACGAGCGATCTGAAAAGATAGTTACGCAAGTATTGTTTCTGTATAATAGAACCGGTGCGTACCACTTTTTTTTGACATGTGCGTAAGTGAAACAAAGTAAATGTTGATTGGGTTCTGCCGAACTTATTGACTATAGAATTATTTTTATTTCGAGTAATTGGACAATTTGGACATTGGCCCTTAAGTACTTTTCATCTTTGACACATGCTTTGCAGAGCCCTGGTTTGAACTGTGAGTGGCCACGTTACCATGGCATTATTTTTTTTTTTTTATAAACGAGACCAATTGGGTAGCTTTAGATATTCAGGCACATTTAGGAGAACTCTTACGTTTACACATCTTGCCACTTCCTTTGATGTCTAAGCGAAACAACTGCTTTTACCGAAGGTAATTTTCATCGTTATCAAACACAAATGGAATATTCCATAACCGTTCCTGAGCTGCTTATTACTGTTCAACGAGATGATCGTATGTTGATCTCGTTGCAAATTCATTCTGGGTGCAATTCATTCGTTGATAAAGAGCTCTTAGCTGAGTAGTCTATTTGGTGCGGACCGAATTTCAAGCTAAAAAGTATTCACTATCTGGCCTTATTGAAAAATTTGTTTCAATCAAATTAATTCTTTGCATACCTAGCGTAACGGTAATTTAAAAAAAAAAAATATGAAAATTATCCCGTAGCTTCATTGTCGCATTATTGCATATTTATTTCCACTTAAAATATGCCGATTTTGACAATTAACGCTAAGCTAAAATCTGTTAACAGGACTCCTAAATTTTAGAACATGTTCTGGTACATGCATAAAGCCAAATCAATACTATCAGTGTCAAATCCTTTGTGAAGGTTTTTTTTGAATGTTTGTATATATCGGAAGTAATGACCTGTATAGAATAAATTAAAAGTGAATTAAAATCTGAACGAATCCGATTATTAAAATTGTATTGATTTAATTTAAGTTACAGGTATATGTCAACGACGAGTCATCGAGTTATGGCCCGCATGATTGATGGCGCGCGTGTGCTGGTGGAGTCGCTCCGACGTCAAGGCGTAGAGTACATGTTAGGTGTGGTCGGAGTACCAGTATTCGAGGTGAGCGTAGCTGCACAGCAAGCCGGCATCAAATTCATCGGGATGCGAAACGAACAATCTGTGAGTATCTACGAATGGATGAGTCTGATCATATTGTGTGAAATAATTACTAAAGATCAATACTAATGCTATGATAGATAGACCAGTAAACCGAACCCATGTACATACTGCCGTTACGGCACTTGTGATTCTTGAAAGGCTTTATTTAAAACCGGAGATCCTAGTTAGCTACTCGTGTCGGTGGTAAGCACCAATTTGAAAGAATCCAATATAACAATTTGTTTTTGTGGACTATGGTGTAGCTATGCATTATTCTGATCAACTTCTTCGCGAATTCATACGACGCTGCGCTGATACATCTAATTTCACTAATCGTCATATTTTTGGGCCACATTGTGGCACATCACGTATTGCCCATTTCAGAATTTTTTTTTTCTGGGAAATTCTGGCCTGTTCTGATTTCTGTCATCTTGTTTTACATGAAAGAGTCAAAAACGAGAAAATTTTTGTGAAACTTCGATGTAGAGTTAATGGACTAGAAGATTCATTGTAGAAATATAGCAGAAACATATATTCTCACACGTTCAGAATCATTGTAGAATATGCAATCTTATTGCCGAGAAACAACACAAAATCTTTTTTAACTATTACTCTTGTTTTTCGTTAATGCTGCGAGCAGGCCGCGTATGCCGCAGGGGCAATCGGATATCTAACCCGGCGACCCGGCGTCTGCCTGACTGTTTCCGGACCCGGTGTGCTCCATACAATTGGAGGTTAGACAAAGTCGTTCGATCATAATCGTTCGAATGCATCAAATAACAATGACGTAGTGCAGATGTTTATTAGGTTTTCGGTGCCTACCTATGCATCGTACACTAAGCACACTTGTGCGTAAGAACTGCAAACGACACCACTAGAGGAACACGTCGTCACAATTCAATTGGGGATGCAAATCTACCACTGATTTAAATTATAGTGAATCATTGCTCATAGCTGCCATATTTTCTAAAAGCCGGGTTATTTCAATCAACTTTAATTCGCCACTGCCTTCGTATCGAAACAAAATCCTTTTTCAAAAAATAATTGCTATAGCATATAACGAATAATGGCAGTCAGAGATTGACAAAAAAAAGACACTGATCTGATCAGTTCTATGGGTCGAACAATATCAACTTTAGTATGCAAGGAGTTGTTGCGTCATCACCAAGATTTTTACCGAATCGAATGTACTCGTTTTTCATCGAGGGAAAGATAGGCTAAAAATAATTTTTTGACGATCTTCAAAAAGAAACGAGAGCAGGTTTGAACCTATCCAATGTCTCAAGGAGTTTGAAAGCTTCTAAAAGTATTCCGTTTTTTTCGGATCTTACAGGCATTTTTACTTGGACATAGAAGGAGCTCAAAAATAGAATCATGATTAAAATTATGTGATGAACACCTTCCGAGGAAACTATAGTTCTAAAATATAAAGATTTTAAGAATTAAAAAAGGTGGTCTAAAATATCACGTATTTTATTTATTTATCTAAAATATTAAGCATGAATGTATTTCTTAGTTAACATTGAGGAACAATCTACCGAATTGGGAAAATGTGTGCTGGGGGGTAGGTTGAGAACATTAGCATTTAAAAGACATTTTATTATGTCATCGGACGCATCTTGAGTTTGCGGACACATAATTTGATCAGAGTTCTTTCCACAAGATCTTCGCCTTCCTTGAGGTAAACGAGAAAATTTACCAGAGCAATCTACCAATACATATCTACGCATTCTCTTTGTATGTTGTACCTATACGGTTATTATCTGCTGTCGCTTTCCCAACCTTTATCTGGATCGATTTTCATTATCAGCAGTTTTTCTCTTAAGTGTCCTTATCACGTTTAGTTTCTTTCGTATCACTCCTTCTTCCGCTGCACTCTTCCGTCTCTATCTCTGCGACTTATTTTTTTTATAGTGTTCCTTTTCAGCCCACTTGGGTTCAGCATGGTCATAAACAAATAGAAACGTTACAGGCCTTGCAAACGCACAACTTAATGGGTGGCCGATGATTCTAATCGGAGGTGCCAGTGAAAGGCAGCTTGATGGCGTTGGTGCTTTTCAAGAATATCTTCAGGTAAATTTCCTTATCATCTTGACAAACACTGCCGAATTATACAACCTGTACATAGATGTACTACTGATAATCTTTGACCGCGTGAGATCTACAAATGTTTCTCCGCATGATTATTATATATTTTATGAAAATGATTTTGGTGAAAATTTGATATCCTAATCTCTGTTGTTCCTGTTAGGTTGAATCGTGTCGAATGCATGTGAAGTATGCTGCTCAACCCAATTCAATTGAACAAATTCCGTTCGTCGTCGAGAAGGTCTGTAGATTCACATTTCCCTTCACAGACCTATGTCACAGTATTGAATGCTAAAAGAGGATCATCCCAAGCGCTAGCTACAACGAACATAAGCCTTTTATATAGAAGTTACAAGGTCGGAATTTTTCAAGGTGCCTTATGGTCTATTATTTGTCCTGTTCCGTGCTCACAGACGTACTATGTTTTTTTCACAGGCAACGAGAGAGGCGCTATTTGGACGACCCGGAGCTTGTTATATTAGTATGCCCGCTGATTTGATCACTGGTAAGATTGTTTTTATAGAATAGTAGGAAATTGCCACTAGTCTATATAAAACAGTGGTAAAAAAAACTCTTGAGCTCATCAATGATATGCATGATAACAAATTATTTTTACGTTGGACGGTCTTGTATCAAAGCAGATCTTGTATCGGCTCTCTCCAACCAATTATACAAAACCGTTGTAATATAAATCAAAGCAGTTAGCTTCTGTTGACCTACCTCGCTATCAAGTAATAGAGTGAATGTTACGTGGCTAGAGACACGAAAGCTCAGAAGGAGGCAAGCTCCACAACTCTAAAAGGTAATATGGATAATAATAATAATAATAATAATAAATAATAAAGGTAAAATAAGGATCTAAAATAGTCGTGTAGTTAAGATAAGAGAACTCGAAACATGTTTTTAGAGAACCATTATATTTTGTTTCGGTAGCAAGCATTATTGTCGATGAGCGGGTCCTTATAATCATACTGGACATATGAACATGGGACCATACTATACTGATCTATAGGTCCAAATTGCACATAGGTATTATTTCAACTATAGTACGTATTATCAGTAGTTAATGGATATGTCATGTCGGTTTTTATCGTAACCTAATTTTGAGATCAGAACCTCGCTTTGCGTTCAGGTGAAACGGATGAGTCGAAGCTCTACCATTCCAAAGTGGTAGGAGATGCTCCTGTATCCTTGGCCTGCCCTCAACAAATAGCTAGAGCTATCAGTTTACTAAGAACGGCTGAAAAACCTCTTATCATAGTTGGCAAAGGTTGTGCCTATGGTCGTGCTGAAAAGGTGAATTATATATATATATATAGCAGTGGCTTTTTGCTGTCCTGTATAAAAAGTATGCAGCTATTCTGTGTCTACAATTAAGACCAGACTAACTTTATTATTAGAAAAACTGTTCTAGGGTCAAAAATTGGGTCATTTCGGAGACATGTGTTCAAATATATGTGCCTAATAATTACTTAAATTACAATGCAAACTCAATGGTCTCGTGAACAATAGTTAGCAGTTTCACGATAATTTGTTGTTTTTTTTCTGTTTGCAGAGTGCACGAGAATTTATTGAGAAGTCTGGTATTCCTTATCTTCCAACTCCAATGGGAAAAGGAGTGCTTCCAGACGATCATCCCCAGTGTATTGCACCCGCGCGTACAAAGTAATCTACAATTACGTACAGTACAATTACGAAGTAAAGCGTCGTTATAATAGTCAATTTACTAACCCACAAGATTTATTTTCCATAAACTTTTCTATGTGGTCTATTTCCTGTCGCTCTTGTATCCTCATGTGAAAGTCATAATGCGATGAAACAACAAAATGAACATGGGTTGAATAGTCAATTCATAGTTTTGCTTAATAAAAAATAAAAGAATGAATGAATAAACAAAAATTATCAACTCGTTTCGTTTCGCCAGGGCGCTTCAGGAGGCCGACGTAATCCTGCTGCTAGGCGCTCGCACGAATTGGATGTTGCACTTTGGAAGGCCACCACGTTTCAACACGTCTGTCAAATTCATTCAGGTTGAAATTAAAGCTGAAGAATTCGACAACAGTGCGCCCACTGAAGTCGCTCTTCTTGGTATAAATAATCTTGGCTCATTCCACTGCTGGCATATAACGACGATGATAACATTTGAGATTTATCCACCCTTTTATGAAATAATAACAATAAATGTTTCACGTTTTAAACTGTGTTATTATATTAAGAGTCATTTGTTACGAGTTGTAAGCACCCGAATCACTTTGCTAGAAGAGATACATGGAGCTTGTATGGCTACCGCTCGTACTTCACGGTTTCTTTAATAGTAGCCGTATTGGCCAAAACTGAAAGTTATGGCCTACCCTAGATAGTCCAGGCGTAGCATCAGCCAAGGACCAAAAACATAACTTATTTCGTTTCAAGGTATTATCTGAGCAATAAGAAATCTCACAAGTTTAGCACCCTTTTTGACGTTGCAGGCGACGTGAACACAGTCTGCGTCCAGCTGCGAGATGCTTGCTCATTCAAGCACGATTCTTCATCCGACTGGATCAATGGACTCCGATTTAAAATGGAATCCAACGCTAAAATTGTTCAAAGTGAGCACAAGTCTGAACTGGTAATTATAAACGTGTAGTTGTAATTTTTTTTTGCCGATAAGAAGATTGTTTCCACACGAACTAAACATGTTCTCTGCGTCAACATACTACTCAACTAGCTACTATGAAATGGAATACATACAGAAATTATTTTTGCCAATAAATGCATTTATTATCAAACGACTATGTCCACAGGCCTTACGGAGAGTAAAGCTATTCCAATGAATTACCATTCCGCCTATAAGATCATCAGTAAATACCTGCCAAAGGACGCAATAATCGTCAATGAAGGGGCCAACACGATGGATATAGGGCGAACCATGCTTCCCAATATACTGCCGCGCCATAGGTACATACACGAACACTTCCGTAACGGTTGTATTTGGCGCTGTATTTATAAGGCTTTATTTTGTAACTTGTCGTTAGCTACCGCTCTTTTAAACGATAATGGTTTTTCTTTCAGTTTTATGACTAAGTATCTATTTAACGAGTGTCCAGGAGAAGTCAGTAGGACAACTCCTCAGAAATAATTTGGGCCGTTTTACCTGTGAAAAGAAAGCTTTCAATGTTATGTTTAAATTTGAACTAGCCGGACGGGACCCAAAGAAAACGTGATATAATTTTGTTGTTAGTTAATAGAAGCATTTAGATAAAAAAATTAAGCCATTATTAATTCTGAATATGCGCAGGCTCGATGCGGGCACATTTGGTACAATGGGCATTGGATTGGGCTTTGCTATAGGGGCTGCCTTACACGCTCAAGCAGTGTACCCTGGAAAGCGGGTCGCGTGCGTGCAGGGCGATTCAGCTTTCGGCTTCTCGGCGCTCGAGTACGAGACCGCCGTGAGATATCGTCTACCTATCATATGTATTGTCATTAACAACAATGGCATCTACAATGGATTTGACGAAAACTCCTGGAAAGCGTTCTACCAATCTGGCCAGCACGAAGCTCTTTCGTAAATATATAAAATGATAAGCACCGAGTCAGAAAATTAATTCTGTGAAATAATTTAGTTATAATGCTTTCGTTTATTTTTGAATTTCAAACGTTATATCTGACGAACCAGGCTTTGGCCTGAGCTGTTTTGCTTTTTGCTATAGACTCACCTTGAATGCAGTCGAATGCGTCTACAGCAGTCTTCAAAAGTCGCTTCCGCATGGCATGATGAATAGGCACTTCTCTCACTGATTTCAGTACTTTAAGATACTATATACATCTAATCTGCATTCTAGGCTGCCTCCGAATGCACTGACGCCGAACGCGCGTTACGACGAAATTTCGAAAATGTTTGGTGGACGAGGATTCAACGTAAAAACGCATGCGGAGCTTGCTAAAGCAATGAAAGCAGCTGTGGCGTACATTGACGGACCATGTATCATCAACGTAAACATTGACGGAATGGCTCAGAGGAAACCACAGGTACTTCTATAATAAAATCATTGTTGCAGTTACGACATACATATGATGTTGCCACCATGAAATCCTTGATATAAATTGTGCGCTCTAGGTTTATCGGTCCTTTTCGTTTTACACATTTGAACCACGATCTCGGGCCAAGGCGAGTCACATGCAAATAATCTGAGTAAGCGTTATGTCCTGCTGTACGTTGGACGGCTAAATCTAAATCTCTGACTACGAGAGCTTGATTGAGTCCGTGATACAATTACGTAGCCACCTTTTTTATTATTAAGTAGTAACAGGGCTCGAGTGTTAACTCAAATATGAAACAACTCCTGTTGCTGAGGGTTATATGAGAAAGTAACTTGCAATGAAACCAGTCCTTATCTAGCGAACGTGCGTAACGACTTCATTTGCTCTTTAAGTAGGCAAATAGATAATAATAATAAATTAAAATTACAGATTTCTGGCTTTCTCGTTGATTTCAGGAGTTCGAGTGGCACACAAGGGCCAAAATATAACTATTGCCAGGCAGATACAAACTGCAGCTAGCACAAAAATAGGGAAGTCTTCTTTGATTTGCCCATTCGATGAGCCTATCGTAAATTACCAATCGCCAGTTCTATTGTCACTAAGTGACACCACGGTTATTTGCTCATCTCATTGCATAAACGAAATATGCCTACAAATCTTTCATGCCTCAGGTAATAGATTTATTTCATCATATACGATACGCGCTGACATGAACCTGAACGACAAACCGCGCGTGCAGCTAATCCTATCGCCATTCTAAAATAAATATATTTTATAAAGTATTACGGTGCTTTCCTTCCCTTTGATAATGACACAATATTTTTTTTTGTTTATGATAAATCTACTCGAGTGACATCACTACAAGCACCTGTTCTATACGATTTAATTTAGCAGAAAACCACGTAAGCTCTCAACCCATTCAACGTCGCCCACTTTATTGCAATAATTGACAACACTTAAGCTTATAATATAAATACATTTATTTGTTGTCTATACTTTTTGTTTCGCATGTTATCTTATCGTTGTCGTTATCTTTGTCGACTTCTTGGCATTTGTATATTAGGCATCTTCACCAGTCGCTGTATTGTTGTACAGTTCTTTGTCCTAAACACAGCATCTCATACTCTACCCTGAATTCACTTTAATTATAACTCATTCAGTATTATTTGACTTCAATCAATAAAGCTATTAGAGTGAGTACCACGATTTCTCGTTTTTATTTCTTACTTGAAATATCTAATGTCCATTTTGTAGTCTAGTCTATTCTATTGGAGTGACCGTTACATTAACTATGATTCGTACGTTGCTCGCATTCATCATCCGTTCTCAATTGCAATTTAATTTGTTTTTGCGTCAAGGCAAGGGATGGTCTGAAGCCAACTGAACTGCCATATCGATCCTATCATTTTTCCGTTGCTTTTATGTGCTTTCCAATTTGAACGGATAATAACATTATCTTAGTATTATTCTATAGTTTACATAAAATGTCATTTCCCTACGCTTGCTTTTCGGTGTTCAAAAAAGAAAGACATCTCTATGTACAAAACATGATCACCATTTTCATAGCCGTTACAGTTGTCCTCCAGCATGGTCACATCCGATAATAAATATCCGTCGTCATTTTGTCAGTCAGACTTTTCTCATTGGCTTTGCTGTCCCTTAGTTCCTACTTCGTCGATTATCGCTTGAGAATTCTACACGTTGATGAGCAGGTTGTAGCCGTAATGATTTATTTTACGATCGTCGTAATGAGGTAAAACTACACAGAGAGACTACCCCAAAATTACGTTCTCGTCGCAATGTAGCACGATAATGAACTCATTACTCAGCATTTATTGACCAGGAATGTTTATGGTAGGCACGATATAAGTGGTTGCCCATATGAGGGTCACACAACTTCAACAGTAGAATCAAAGCAGTCGTGTCGTTGATTGTATTTAGTTGATTTCAGTATTGGTTTTTGACGAGGAATCATTCGTGAAGTCTCAAGCCACTATGATAGATCGAACAGTTCGGTTAATTTTGGGGCACTCTTAATGGCTCCACAATGTGAAAGTCGTTCAACAGCTGTTAACATCGTTTTTCTTATGCGTAGCCAGTAGAAACGTCAATTTACGATGAATTTTTCCCCATAGTCGTTTTTATTCTGAAAACCCCACCGTACAGTCATCTCATACTCAGCAATTTAATATGATGAACTATTTATTTACACAGCATTTCTTATCGTTCTAAACTTTCATTACTTTACACTTGATTAAAATCATTTCTGATAACTTATTCATTTGTTACGATTTGTCTTTGTTATTATTATATGTTGTTATCCTATCGATTGTGGCACTTGCCACATAACACATGTCTTTGTATATTATTACATAGCACATATCCTGGATCTCTCTTAAAATATTGGCAGGATTTCGTTCAAACTGGACTTGAACGGGTCGACTCCAAGCCCATTCGAGACTAAAATGTCCAAGCCCATGGTAAAAATAATTATTCACAAAACGCACCCCCTTTCCCCAGTCCCCCGACGGCTCAGGTCATTCAGTCTTCATCGTGTTGCTCTCGTGACCCTTACGATATTTTACAGTATATATTTAATATGTACATTGGATTGCTGACCCTTTTCCAACGACTTACCACTGAAGGAGTGCATTTTTGATGGCCCGTTATGTCTATATTTGGATATAAGTACTATGAACGTTTAGAGGGCGAGTAATGAGCAACCGATTATAATTGGGCATCGTACCCACTCGGTCGCTTATATTCTTCCTTCTCATTTGTGGAAATAAAGAAAATCATTCCTTATATCCTATCTTGATGAAATTCACAAGGAAACATAAGAGCGTATTGTAGATCTAAAATTCTATTGTTGTACTGGCTTTAATCTTAAGATTTTTCGTTCTATCAATAAGATAACGTAATGTCATTATGCAGTATGAACTGTGTCCGTCGGGCCAAGACACAATAGCTTCTACCGTCTCTAAACGTTATTGTTAACGTGCCTGTTCTGTCTCATTGAGGATTCTGTGAATTTTCATCATATGACATGCTTTTGTGTTAATAGTCACACCCATATATAATAGCGAGCGTAATTACACCTTCCGTTATATTCATGAAACTATCACTGTCACAGCCCACTGCTTTCAGTTACAGTTACTACTGCTACAAGTACTATTAGATATTTATATATATATATATATATATACATTTGTGTCACCTTTCTTCATTCTTTCATCCTTTTGTCCACACAGCAGAAAATTCATGTATTGAATGAAGCAACGCAATGTGAAGCGCTATATTACAACGAATCCATCTGTTAACATTGGTATCATGCACATATCACTCAGTTAGGCCTTGCTTCACGAGTTCGGGTTATCCCGGGACTGTCGTAAGGGCAGTAAGATTGCATGGCATTGGCCTGGTGACAAATTAGAACTATACACTCATTCACTGGTATGTGCAAAGTTATTTAAATATAGTCTTATCCAACTTAACTGCGAAACCCCTGAGGGTACATCACACTGCGCTAAGTAAATGAAAATGGATCTCCCGATCGGAAAGTCTAGGTTGCCAGTGAGAGGAAAAACAACATCTAGATTGAAGCTGTCCTACATCAAAAGAATACAAATATAACACGGTGCTATCTATAGTCATTGCCCAATGCCAGCTAGATCTTAATCGTGGAATAAGCCTTCAATACTAATATACTTATCATCACCATAAGAGAACGCAGGATATGACATCCTGATTTGAGGATATTCTAAAGCTATTCATAGAATGTTGTGTTTTCCAGACACGCAAAGGCCGTACCTTCTAATTCTGATAGCAAATGTATGATCATTTCGGCCGCACATCGACATACATTTTCTCACCTCTTCTTGCTAATTACTAACATTAGCGTGTTGTTTTTCACTTGCCCGCTTATTTCTCTTTTTTCTTCTCATCATTATCATGAAACATTTCTCGTTGAAGCGGTCTACTATATAACAATTTCCACCAGCGTTTGTCGACCAGTACTTTTTACCATGATGCTGCTGCTGGCGAATCTTTCATTGCCCCGACTGCTACTTTCGCTGTCGTTTTGCACTACATCTCTAATGTCTCTCCTTACGCTATACAGACGACTGTTTAAGTATTGATGACGGAAAGTCGTTCGACGACGCGATCACCCTTGCTGGGGGTAATCCCGCGCTTTTCTGGTGAGAGGCTGCCAGATGCTGCTGGTGCTGGTGCTGCGCTTGTTGCACTGGACAACCATCAACATGGGGTGTAGCATGATAGAAACCCGTTGGCGCTACCATTTGATGCTGCTGCGTGTGAGCGAGAACATGCTCATGGGAGCTCATATGACTCCCAGGACCGCCGCCTCCACTTCCAGCAGCACCAGATCCGCTCTGATTGGCCATGTGCGACGAACGGTGCGGTGGGACCACGGCTACCGGTACAGGGTTATGACCCGTACTACGGCCTGTGCGGGACAGTGCATCAAGTAGGCATCAAGAAACACGAGAAGTATAACGTGCTATTAGTTAAGCTTTCTGTCTTACGCTTCTGCATCAGCTATGACCATACATAAAGATGTTGTGCCGGGCATGCAAGGCAGATTTTCTTCATTGGGAAATTGATTGAATCTCAAATGATTGTGCTTGCTACTATATGATTGTTGCTCGTAGACAAGGTAAAGTGTTTCCTTATTTTTGTCTTGCCTATTTTTCAATGACATTCCTTTGATTTGGCCAGCTGTTCTGTGTATGGAGTGAAAGCGTTGTGCAAACCTAACATACAGTGCAATTCAAACATAAAAACAATGGGAAACCTTATCAATAAAAAAGGTTTAACTGTGAAAATATTCGACAGCTTGGCATGGTCTTCGGCATCAACAGCTTTGCTAATCCGTTAAAGTAATGTTCTATAGCTTCGTGCAGACCATAACCGCGCAGGCTGCAGACTCGATTCAAACATTTATACCTTCTTTTCCTGAGTGTGGTGTATATCAGTTTACAACAATTCGAAAAGTCCATTCGAGTTTGCAGTGCATTGTTGTCTTCTAACACACGCATATATATGCTTCATCCGTTTATGCTACAGGTGGACAGTGGACAAAGATATGTACATATATATTCTGCTTTTTTAGCTTGGTGCAAAATCTTTTCAAACGAAGAAAGTTTATAGGTGGCGCTATAGCGTACTTTTATCACACCTGCCTCATGTAAAGGTGACACACGAAGCTATCTACAAAATCAGAAACAAAGAGACATAAGAATGGAGAACACTGTAAGAAATCTCTGTTATACATTGCCTTAGCCTGATCAATCAACTGATTGTCCCCGTAGCCTATTTCCGGGAAAAAATAAGAGCAACTAGAAGACCGAAAGAAAGGCTGGTATAAAAACTGTCTGACAGTGCCGATATAGTAAGTGCAATGGATTTGTAATTGCCACTTGTCACATGTTTGCTTGTCATCTTGAGACATTCGTTTATTTGGATATCGCTCAATAGTATTATCAATGGTTTTCATTACTGCAGTGATTAAAGATCGAGACTGTTGACAGAAATTTTCGCTAAACTTCGTTCAAGAAGTAAGGCGGTGTTTTTAAGTAAGTCACGCGGCACCATTGTTGGTCCATGTTATATAGACATATCGGCAAGAAAAACCGCAGATTAAGCATGTGACTATTGCTGCTGTTATTCTAAGCCATCGACACTCGACCACGGCGCTTCCTGACGATAAGTAGCAGCATTTTATGTTTAGAGTCGTCGAAAAATTGTAACGACCTTTACATTATGACCCTTAATTAGCAAGGTTTGGCTTTATTGGTGGCGGGCGCAAATTTTAAATTTCAAATTGGCGTCACATGGCCAGAGTTTAATTTCGTAAAAGATTGATTGAAATTGTATTTGAAGGATATGCCGAAAGTAGAAGCATTGCTAAACCGCTTTATGTAGTAAATTGTCAAGTTTTGCTACATTACAAGATTAATTGTCATTCGTAGCTGTTGTTTACTACCTAAGACCCGGTGAAGGTGCTAATTACCCTCCCACCTCTCCCCCCCGGCAGGTCTCGAGAATTAAATCTTTTTCTTAAGCACTTTGTAGGACCGACAATGCCGTTAAGATTGCTTGCTATGTCGGCAGCATCCGTGGTCATTTGAAATGTTCACTTTTCACAGTAGAACAATGATGAATTTCGTTGTTTGTCAACTCTCGGTTGTCACATCCACTCGATGGCCGATAACGTCCTCTGGGCTGAGGTGTCGAGTAAACGGTATAATAGACGTGTTACCTGGCTTACCTTTTCATCATCATCATCATCATATCTCATAAATTGTGTCACCAGAATGTACTGTTTACTAAAGTTCAACTTGAACATAATCTACGAGACTTGCACCTAAAAACAAGTCTGATTACTGATACTCCAAATAGATCAACTATAGACAAATATATTTTAGAGAAAAATCAGAGTACTGCTTATATAGAAATATACACCTCTGTGTGGAGTTAAGGACCCATAGGTAACTTTTGTAAGAATACTGCTTTAATACAAATCAGGCCAATACTTGTTACGATCTGCAACTTCACACAACTGTTTTTAGTCTTATAAATATCAATGATTAGTCAAAAAAAAATTATAACAAAAAACAACAATAAATAATTCTAAACAGGATATTATTATTGTAGGTATTAAAGCTGCTGCACGAATTTTTAATTTCTCAGAATAGGTCTTCTGCAGGTTGACAACTTATCGAAAAATTAAGTTCGCAATCGCCCGACATAGGATAATCTAGTTCTAAGTTTAAATCGCAACTTACCTTGTATATGTTGAGCTGGGAGAGTACCCGCTCGATCGTGACCACGAAACTGCTGTTGTTGTCGATGCAGCTGTTGATGCTGCTGCTGCTGCTGCTGCTGTGAATTAAGATGTGGATTCCACGTGGCAGGCGGGGCCGATGTGGCACGACTTTGGTGTCCAGGATGGCCTATGTGAGCAACGAGATGTCGACTATCGGCAGGTCCTAATCCATCTGGTTGTCCCGTTGACATGGCAAGATTACCGAGCCCGTGGCCCCCGTTGTTTCCACCGCCTCCTCGGCCATCACCACTAACCATTCTCTCAACCCTGTCCAGCTGGCTTAGAGGGATGCCTCCAGCAGCGACCTGCTGACCTCCGGCTAAATTATGCTGCGATCCATTCTATGAGACAGATAGTACGTATGATAATAGTTAGAAAAGTTAGGGGAACAAACGGCTATTCAATAAAATAGTATTGTAGCTTTGTTAAAAGATCACCTTAATTACTAATATTCTAAAGTTCTCTAGTACTTTATAAGGTTCTCTAGAACATGGGCAATCCATTGTAACGTTATACCGACGTACGTAAGAAAATGTACCTTCGAGCTGGCATGCACAGTGCTAAAGGGTCGGATGGTTGTAATCCTTGACCCACTATCAACGTAACTTCTTCGAGCAATTAACGATGGAGGTATAGGCGCACACAGCACACCAGCACAGTTGGCTATACAAGACCCCTGCGAATACGGATTGCGAACGTCTGCCCCCCGGCGAGATGAGAATGATCCTTTGATCTGGAAGCAGAAAACAAAAATTAGTGTGAGGTGAATTATATATGGCAAATGGTCTTTATTTATATAAGAAACAAGATATCGTCAATTTCTTACATTGGGGCGGTATAATCTAGCTGGCTAATAGGCATCGGTTCGTTGTTATGATAAACAAATGGTTATTGCTGATTTAGGCTGTAGCGTTCAGAGATAGTTACTAATGTCATTTTATAGACCTGTTAAAGAAACATGCCACATAATACTCCACATCAGGGCTGACAATCCGCAACGTAGGCCAGTTTTTTGCGGTTTCGACGGGAGACTAGAACGGACCTAGTTGTGCCATGTGCCTTCCGGACGGCCCCTCGTAGTGATAATTCATAGTTCAGATGAAATAAATAAAGCTTATTTTTCTACGACGGAAACAAAACTCTTATTTGTTTTTAATGACATCAACTTTTGTAGGGATACACGTGTTTAATCTAGCCTGTCGCCTTTGCTAAAAATTATTTTAGCATATAGACGGCTCTATATTCATATAGCTTTAACATTCATATAAGCTTCTGCAGCTTCAGCGTAAGCTAGCTACTTCATTTCGCTACGAGTTGCCTTGGACTAAAACATTCATTCTACGATAACTTACGTCAATAAGAAGAAGCAGAACCCTCTCCGGAAGATTTCATCAGAGATGTATTCGTCTATTTTCCGTGCGGTGTTTAGGATTAGAAAGCAACTTAGGAACCATGGAAATATCATTCCCTCTGTCTTGCTTATACAACTACACTATCTCTATATTCAGAGAAGGAAATCTGATAAATAACATAAATATAAACAAGACAAGATTGTATTCTAAATGTATCACCTATGCGGTACTTATGCTACTACGTAAAATCGGTAATAACAGCAACCGTGATATTATCGGAACAAGCCCCTGCTGATTTCGACTCAGAAGGGCCGAAGAAACGACGGTCTTGTGTGCAGGAAGTAGCCATGATTCCAATAGGGTAACTGAGTAGGTAACGAGCAGGTTGGCCAAAATACTGCATACAAAGATAAACAAGTAATGAGCATAGATCCAATATCAAAAACAGCTCACTTTATTAGAAAAAGCACTAGCATTAATAGAAACAGATGAACTATGAAACAATGTAGATGAGTAAAATATACTAAATAGCTATAGGAACATGTTAACTGACTGTATTGAATCGTAGGTATGCGTGTATGGTAAACACCAGATCAAATAAAAAAGGAACGAATGGAAACCGATTTGTGCCGCGGACCGTGAACAAGTAATGCTTGTGACAATCCGTGGTGTACACGTGGCATATATCGTCAAAAACGTTGAATTAGTAATGTGATTTTTGATATTTCATCATTTGGATTGACCTGCTACACACAAACAATAGCTAGTTGTTATTTGGACAATTGTCCTTTTATATATGGCTTTTGGCATGCTCAATGCGCGTACGCATCGTGCATAGATCGGTGTGTATCAGCTGTTTGCGGTCGGTTAACGTTCGTTAGGACTTACATCCTCGTTGGTTGTTTGGTTAGCTGTTGTTAGATAAGTGTGGAAGCCAGCCAGGCCTAGAATGCTCCACAGTGAGAAGAAGCAGACGACGCATTCGATACATGATGCGGGGTTGTCCCGTAGTGTGTCGGGTAGAGACTCCTTTGTTCGCGCTTCGAAAACCAGCCGTGTTATGACGCACGCAAAGATGAAGATGCAAAGCGCGGCTAATGATACGATGAACAGGTAGAAGTAGCGGTAATTACGTCGGCCGACACAGTTCCCCACCCATGGGCAATGATGATCGAAGCGATCTAGAAAAATACGATTGGGTCAAATCGGGTGTTTAGCAAAACAAACACACATACATACATACATACATACATATATATATATATATATATATATATATATATGCTCATATGTGTCGTTCAATAAATATGTTAGTCAGAAAACATCAGCAGTTCCGATTCCGACTATATATGACACAAGGTGTACTGTGAAATTCAGCGAAGAGTTTTTTGGTATAAAAATACCGTTATGTTATTTAGCGGAGATCAAGGTTTTATTATTAGCTTCTAATCACTTTTAAGTAATATTTTAACGACCAGTACGATTTTCAGTCTAAATTTACGAAATATTTAAGATTTGTTCACTTTGTACTCTTTCTGTATGTCATTGACTAATAAAGCTGACCATCGTAAGGTTTGGAGTTACGATATAGCTGTTCCTCAGGTTATATCCTATCACACGTTATCCAAAAGGGCGGTTCTAGCAAAACTAAAGTAAATAAGTTGTGCCTTAGATACCTCAGCGATATACTAGTTCATAAAAGGTCATGATTCTTCACAAGTTGGACGGTGGAATTAAGCCGTTTTTTTTAAGGAATTAAAATGTTTCTAATTTCCCAAGCAGTGTTTGCTTTACACGCATTTGTTTCACGTACAAGCAGATGACTAGTCACGATTCAAATATACTCATATACGTATATACAGGTGTGTAAACTATATGCAAATGCCTTTGCTTTTTTTTGCTCCATCTGCCAAGGGAGCACCTGGTAGTCATTCTGATTCGTTTGACAAAAGCTATAGTTTGATCTTCTGCAAAATCTGCTACTAGCAGAAAGGTCGTCCGACGAACTTGAACAACGTCTAATCATTCTGAGGAGCATGCATTGAGTATGTTAGGCTGGTGGGCACCTAGAAGGATTAGCACTTTTCCTTTAAAGGTTCTCATCCATTTATGTACTTTGTACAAGAGCTTCATGTGCAGAATGTGCGTACTTCCGCTATCTGCTATGGCTGATTTGAAACTAATTAAGTGTGCAGTAAAGATGCGCAAGGAGGCCAACTATTACTGCGATAACAGTCCAGGTTCACTGTATATTATGAACAGACCTCCCCCGCTTTTTCTGGTTTCCGATGATCTGCTCTAAATCTAAGCAAGAGTCCGTTCTGACTGATTATTGTAACCTGAAACCAGCGAATTTTAGAGATCGAACAGCAATGTCACTGTTGGATGGGCAGTTTTTTTTCTTTGAAGCTTACTTAGACGATGATGAGCGCATCAGTACTTCACAGCTGCACCAGTTTTCAAAAAACCGATGGCAAAAAGCTTTCTACTACTTTGTCAAGTTTGGTACTAGCTGCCGACGGTGTAGCATCGTTCGGTTAGCACTTGAAGGAAAAATTCCATCTGCAATAGTTATGCGCTTCACGGAAATTTCATAAAAACTCGTTATACCATCGTTCTATATTTCAGGTCGACATTTTCGATACGTTAGATAAAAAGAAGGTGGAAGAAATTGATCTGAAATTTCACTACGCCATTACTCAGTACGTCCGTCAAGGTTTATATGCCTCCGTTGGACAGCCAGCCCGGATTCCATCAAAGAGCATCCTGTCATACGAAATTCTGGAGATCCTACAACAAACGAAACTGTTGGCGCTCTATGTCAACGTCGATGTCCGAAGTCCACCTGATAAGTCCTAAGTCATACAAGGCAATGCGGTGCACTTACAGGGTGCAAGAGAAGTAAACTAATTGCTTCAAATTGCCACAAACTTGCTTTTTGAAAATACTTCGCCTTGACTTCTTCAAAAAACATGCCACGACTGTAAAATTAGTTTTATCCGACTTTGCCGAGTAAATTTTGACACAGTCGCTTATTGAAAGTGTAAACACTATGAAGCTAGCAGTACGCGAAATCGATGTAAGGCTGGATAGAGAGTACAACAGAATGATTTGAAAGCAAATGCAAAGTCTCCACAACCTGAAAGCATGTATATGGTAAGGAATCTTTATATTACAGCAGCTCGTTCGCATGTAAAAAGTCTTCGAAATGCCGCGCTGCTTTACACTAAGCAGATTTACGAGTAATTAGTAAGATAATTAACGGTGTACATTTAATTTGCCTATGTTGACTCCGTGAAGATTTCGTAAAGTGAGTAGGTAAACAAAAGGAAACTCACCGACACAGTTATCACACAGGCTGCAGTGCGAAGCCCTTGGCGGCCTGAAAATTCTGCAGGTAAAGCAGTATTTGAGCTTGACGGTCTGTCCATGAATTGTGACTTCTTTCGTTCGTGGCGGTGGACGTAGTGCGGCCGAATTTTCGCCATTTGGCACTTCTGAAAGCAAAGAAAAGAAATAAAATATAAGGAGAAAATCGAGAGGGGTCCATTATGACGTATAGAAAAACACCGATTCTCTTTATTACACTACCTTATATTCTATTTGTTTTTTTACCACCGCTGGTAATGAGTTGGAAATTACTTTTCCACAGTCAAGATAAAAGGGCTAATTTATGACGTAGCAGCCACTGCGTTCTTAGAACTTATCCTCACGTATTATACAAACTGCAATAAACCCTTTGAGAGGCTCTTTTGATTTGTTTATATTTTATGGTTTCTCAATCTCGGAAGTCGTTTTCGAAAAGAACCATTGTTATGAGTAAATATGAACTATTGCTATCTCATCTAGTTACCATTAATGAATTTGCCGGCCAGGTAGATTGCAAAGGGTCGACCTCATTAACGAACAACAACAACAACTGATGTCTTTGTAAGAACTTCAGTACTTAAAAGAGTCGTAATGCTACCCTAATCAAGATTATCATAGAATACGTAGAAACCAGCTTTAAAGCTGTAACAGGTTTTACAACTGCTTTTGTCTTTAAGGAGTCCCAGTGCAGATAAACCTGTACCGCTGTTTGCCATTAGTGGCACTACTCATCAATAAATACTGATGTCGCTATCAATAAGTGCGACCTCCTTCTCTTATACAGGGCTGCTTGATTCAACCAAGTCTTTTAGCTTGATCAGCTTTGCCATTTTTTGCTATGTTTCGTATAACAGAAAGAAAATTTTTCTGTATAGGTGCCCCCGTCGATGCGAATTCAAGAAGCGACGTTCTCTTCGTGCGCGTTTGTCCGCCCGCCTATGTCGGATAGGGATGACATTGAGAGTGCGATTGTGGCAAGGCACTTTGACCGCTTCCTACGTTGCTTGGGCGCACATTGTTGAAGCTGACGATAGCAGCTTAACACGACCTAACATGTACAATGTCGTTTCATTCCGTTTTCCTTCTGTGAGCGTGTTCAATTGGCACTCGGCGCTGGCCACCAGACTACTGTCCTGCTCAGGGGGGCAAAAACACTCGTTAATTGTTCTACCTATGGTCACGCTAACTATTGCTGTCGTTGACGTCGTCGCCGCCGACGACGACGACGCTGCCGCCTCTTCTAGCAACAGATCACTCGGTGACGGCCATTTAGCAATTCGACGATCGTCGGTGGACAATCGCATGACGAATGTGACACTAGGACGACTGTAAATTCCAATTGTTATTCGGGCAAGTATTTCATTGGCATTCAGTACTATCAAAATTCAATAGTCATTTATATACTACATCGTATTCCTAGGTAATAAACAAATTTAAACAAGTAGTTACCCGCACTGTAGTTAGCAGTGTACTACGCTATATCTGTAGGTAAGTGTGAGCTATAAACTGACACACATCGGCCCGATTAACAGGAGGCCAAATAGGACAGGCAATAGCAGTTTTTGCAACTCCATACATACGCACAGGTCCATACTTTTTTCCGCTATTGTGTGCTGCGTCTGCGTATATTTATTATGTGTTCTAATTAATTAGAATCGCGTGTTCAGAGATTGTGTTGCTTCTACACCTTTTGTTATAGATAAAAAAGGCGTGTCTTTTAGCACGTAAGCTTTCTTTGTCCCTTCGTTTGGCGCTCTTTAGCTTCCAACATCAACAACTTTATAGTACAAGCGCGTTTCTTTCATATAATTGTTAGTGACAACAAGGGGGTCTTCGACCTTGCACCGACGGACAACCCTCGCGTACAAAAAGATAGACGTTCGAATAGCGCTTCGGAAGAAGCGTTCCGTTCGGTCATTTTCTACTGGTCGCACGTCTGACACGTGGATCGATGCTAAGACCCGTCTTTGTGACATACAAAAACATGCATTGAATCTACACCCCGGCACGGACGTGCACGGATTTGACAACACGATCGAAATGCGATGCTGGAACTCGCCGATCGTACCGGGAAAAGCCAGTAAATCTGTAATGTGACAAAGCAGCAGCTGTCGTAGCTATGCGAGCCTTATTACCGAAATTGTCACGCTGCTAGCGCGTCCCGGTAAAACAGTAGCGCCGAATCGCGTCACGGTAGAAAACTGACAAACACGATGCCTTGCATTCCTTCCTATACATGCAGAACGAAAGAAAGGGATAGAGATAGACGTAAACAACTGCAAGAGCTGATGATGTCATGAACACGCCACATTCATAAAGATGTCGCGGCCAGCTGCGCAAGGCGAATCGAAAAGCAGACACTAGTTTCTTACATACACACACATTCTACAAGGCATACTAGACGAAACATATAAATTCTAAATCACTATAGAGTTATACAATTAATACGAATATTACTGCATACAGCCTTTGCTGAGACGCCACTTTCAATGTTGTGCAGCTTATTCTCCAATTGAGTTACAGCTCCAAATCTATAATTTTAAGGCATCATTCACAATTATGTATAAATGTTTTTTAGGTCAAACAAAATGGGAACCATGCTAACAACAAAAAATGTACGAAAGGAAGGCTGTGAGTTATCTGCCCTAGCAATAATGACGTTGTATCGCTACGGAATAGATGAATATTTCAGTTACACCATATCCAGAGTTAAGTGCAGGGTACGCAATGGATTTCCTTCGCTCTTTCCGTGAAACGCCATTTATATATATATATATATATATATATATATATATATATATATATATATATATATATATATATATATAGCGCTACACTTGATTGAATTAGTAACAATGGTGGCAATTTAAAGCCATAACTGGTCATCAACTTTGAGCTTCAGGGGTAAAAGGGCGATTTTAACCGAAAACAAGCACATTCGGGGACAACCTTTCATCATAAAAACAATGGCGATGGCGTTTCTTTTTCAAACCAATTTTTTCTATTGTTGCTAGTCCGCATTATGACTACATATTACCTTCTTCAAAATCCACTCCATGTATAGATGTCTTACCTGGGCACAAAGCTTAGTTTCGTCTTTTTTGTTTGTGTCCGAGCTCGCCTTTGAACAAGCAGTGTATGTCAAACAAATCAAAATGCTAATGTATTGACGACGTATACACATTGTTTTGTATTCTACTGTTTCATTAATTTAAACACGCAATTTGATACGAACCAAGCGTTCTGACTATCCTATCAAACACAATTTATACAGCCCCGGCTAATTAGTCAGCAGCATCATTCAGTAACCAGTCCAATAAACTTCATTGTCTCATTCGGAACTGTGTACTATAAAACTAGTCAAATAATCAGATCAGCATATACAGAAATGAGGTTATTTGACATCACATCCAATCGTCAGGGATATTTCAGAAGCAATCATTACGACCAAAAACAAGTACAAGTGGGTAAACAACATGCAACTACAGAGCAACAGATATGTATCGATTAGTAATTTAACACGTACGGGGGACACGTACTATTCACTAACACCTACTTTACCCAGATGCCCACAAACGAGTGGCTGTAGCCACAAAAGAAAACAGATCTCAAACACCCAAGTGTCCGATCAAGCTAGTTTAGCGGTGGCACAAAGTCAAAGGCAAACAGTGCCATCGTTGTAGCCACCACATCGTCCACGTGGCGCCCTCTACGTATCCTATAATATGACTGCAATATCTAGTGTCTATCTCTGTTACTATATATGTTACTATTCAATGTTGCGTGTACTATCTCACGTACTGCACCTGCCGCATTAAACAACACCGTCAGCGATCGTTATGCCACACTGAGCGGTCAACAATCGCACGCTGTCCCTGATATACGTTGAATTATTGATTGGTCAGCTATAATAACCGTTAAAAAAGCGGGAACAGTTTCTATCGCATCGCGTACACGAGCACACAGACGTATTAAGCCGGGAGCGTTTCGGTCGGAGAAGAGGTTTGCGTACTGGAATCGTAAAAGCAAAATTGTAACAAAAGAAAAAAAAAACGTACAGTGGCATATGATGTGAATCGTAACAGCCATTGTATATTCCGATTGGTACGTTTAGCCACTTGTATACGGGTACATCGCTGCATGGCTGTTTTGTTTTTATTTTTGGCTAAAGTCCCATCATTTATCATAGTGACAAATGACTGTCGAATTTCGCACCTTTTTGTTTGCACCAGTTTGCGCTGTTCTAGCTACTAAATTAGCAATGCCTTCTGAGCTGCCCCAAACTAACTAAAATATCTTCTTTAGCCTCAGTCGAATTCTTACGCTACCTCGTTGTCTGTTCATTACAGTTTCTTCAAAAAGATTTCGTTCTAATGGTACTGTCGTGGTGCCCTCTAAAAGGTGCCAATGCTACGAATCTGCTCCTGTTCGATTTATCTGTAGATTTTATTCGGAACATTTTGCCTGCACAATATATATATATATATATATAGAATTATTCTTCATTTACACATTAAAAAGCCTATTTTGGAACAAAAAATGTGCCGAAAATGTACGATGATGGCTAAATGCACGCACTCACCTCCATTCATACAGTAAATTTAAGTGGGCTTCCTGAATATCCAACTTACAAAATTGCGTATGAGAGAGTTAAAAATAACCCTTTGTACGCAACACACCCTCAAATCGAAACTCATACTGCCTAAACATGAATGATCTATTTAGTAACCCTCAAGTGATTCGAGCCCATCGAATGCACATATATTTATAGCACAAATCGTAATTCGCATTCGACATAGCGATGTTTGCAGTCACAAACGGATTAAAAAAAAAAATAACATTTTTATTCATGCTTGAAGTATGTTTTTAAGAACGGCGAATTCTCGGCTTTAATAGTATGCATTTAATTGGGGACGAAAAGCACGAGCCAAGAACAGACTTTACTGAATTCTATATCAGTTAAAATAATCTTTCAATTACTAGTATTGAAGGATATGAGGATACAAGAGTTACCAGATTCATTGAAAATATGCCAGACTGACGTAAACTATATTTTGTAACAAAGCAAATCTGCTCATACCATAACGAACGACCGCCTGCTAAAACAGACAGGACCTTATCACCAACA